TTTAGGCAGTAAAAGTATTTAACCCCAAATGTATCATTCAAAATTCAAAAGTGACATTCCAAGGAAGTATTTACCAGTGCAGATAATCTGGTCACTTTCAAAAGGTAATACCGACGAATCCTTTGATGAATTGCTTTTTGAGAAAAAAATATTGCCATATGAGAAGTACCGTAATCCATAGCATTACAATTTATTATTTGCATGGAAGAAACAGTTTATTTATGATGATAGATCAAACTTTATGCAACAATTTTATAATTGAAGTTTGAAAGGCCATAATGATTATCATTTGAAATGGGATAAGCAAGATTTAGGAAAAGGAAACTTTAGACGAGAATCCTCAAGATCGAGAATCCCACCCATAATATAAATCTTTTAATCGAAAATTAAAAATAATAAAATTTTATACTAATTTCAAATGACAATCTTAATGATAAATTTAACTGCAGATTTGCGACCACTGCTTGTCACCAAATACAGCTGGAGATGGCACTGGTTGTGATAATATGACGATAATTGTAGCACAAATATTGCGCTCAGCATCATCAACACAGCAACTACCGACGCCATCGTCATCCTAATGTTTTTTTGGTTCGTCGTTTGAAGCATCCGAAAATCGTGTTTTTATACCTTCTTTCTCAAAGAGGTCCGTTATTTCACCCTTTTTATGCATTTGAACAAGAATGTCACAACCTCCTATGAAACTGCCATTCACATAAACCTGAAAAAGAATTTATATAAATTTTGTCTTCCTTTTTTCCCTACTTTTATATCTAATTAATTTTTTTGAAATCCTCCAGTGAAAGAATGTACAGATTAGCTAATATATCGCATGAAAGCAAAAAAAAAGATGATATGCAGAGTTCGTTTCTATTAGGCACCATTCATTTTATTTATTGTTTTTCTCCTTTCTCCTCATTTTCCGTGAATATATGTTCTATTACTGCACATTATCTATGTATATTTCCGCATATGTTATAAAAGCGTTCATTTTTTGAGGTGAAAAAAAATGGAAATTGATTGAACAGAAAAGGAAAGTTAATATTTTTTTGACCAATTGATAGAGATTGTTATGTTTCATTCTGATATATGCATTTTATATACCATAAATGGAAGTGTCGAACATTAACTAAAGTTATTGATGCATAGCATAAACCGTCAGAAACAAACCCACCTAAGGTACTGCTATCTTTGACAATTTTACGACTCTTACGCCATAAGTTTTATGGTGAAAGTGAAGCATTTGCCTCTGCATGTCACAATTTTTTTAGAAAGTCGAAACTTCTAAAGTAATGTTTCTCAACGGGTTGTCTGCGAGGGCGACGGCGCGGTGAGTAGAAAATAGGCGAGTATTAATATTTGATAAACTGATAAACTATTAAAAGTTTTGGTTGAAGTTTATTTTCAAATCACCATAATTTATTATTTCCGAATCTTATACTCCCTGGTACTAATAAAAAACCTAAAATGATCCCTGGTCAAGAAAAGGTTAGGAACTACTATTCTAAAGGGAGCGATATAATCAGATGGAGATGTTATCAGTTCTGCATCGTTCCCTCCATTCTTTCCATTATATTCTATTCTTCAAAGAAAAAATTGCCTATGGAGAAATGAATAAACATATTAGCTTACCTGAGGTATTGTAGGCCAGTCGCTGTATGCTTTAATACCTTCTCTTAGATCATCGTCGCTGAGTACGTCATAATCTTTGAATTTAACTTCATGAAAGTCTAATACCTGTAAGGAAAAAGCTAAGGAAAAACTCCAAAATAAAACGAGATGGTTTATTAGTAATGCTCTGATGAAAGCGTTTTTGTTGGTTGTGAATGTACGATAAATGATAGCACATTTTCCAAAATCTTTTAAAAACTATATAACATGAAGATTTCCCAATTGTTGTCGCCAGTGGAATATTGGAACTACTTTCTTATCAAATAAGATACCTTTAACATCGTCATGCTGTTTACGATATTCCAATAAACAAAAAAAAAAAAAATCATTACAGATAAACGAATGTATATCATAATGGATCATTTCATAGACAACTGGATGAAATCATCCTAACTTTTTGTAATAAGGAGTCGACAGATGACGCTTCTAACTAAACTTGGAACAATGTGATTAATCAATCCTTCATCTTCTGCTTTACTATTTGAAATTATAGGAATTAAAAGTGATCCCTAATCTTAGAACTCACCAATTTAACATTTTTGCTAAAGCCACACATTGGTTCAAGCTGTGAACCTTTCATAAAAACTACTACTGGAGCAGATGAGATCATCTTTTCGATTCGTACTTTTAATGCTTCAGACAGTGGTGATGATGATGAAGCAGAGGAGAATGCATGCAAACCAGATGCACGAAATGCAACTCGTCTAATGACCTTAGTCAAACCAAACATCTGCAATTAAAATTAACATTACTGCTCATGAATTTCCTGCTATCAATTCTTGTACTATTTGCATTTCAAATATTTGAGGTCAATGAGAGTAGCAACTAATAGCATAGTTTATTGAGATCAATTACTACTGGATAAAGACTAATAATACATAATCTTGAGGTGATAAATCTTGAACTCATATATCAATACGTTATGATACACATCCCTTCCACTTTTAAATCATTCTGTCGAGTATTTTTTAGTAAAAAAAAAAAGAAATACCGCCTATCTGAATTCAGTAATCCCTCACTAAGAATTTAAAACATTATAACGAAAAATTATCGGATAATACTAGAAATCTGAAAAACGAAATAAGGAAAAGCCATAAAATCATGAATGTTCAATTTAAGCCACCTTATTGGATCTGAAATTGACTAACAAGCGACTAGTTACCCTAATTCCAAAATTCACTGGTAAAATTTCCAGTAATATATTGTTCCCAAGAAATGTAAATAATAAAAGTAACAAAGAGATAAGTGAAAAAGACTAGAATATCAAGGCAGTAATTTTCAGTTACAAATTGATTCCACGAACATATATGTTGCGCCACCACCACGACTTAGCATCAACAATAGCCGTGTACCACGAAACTTCTGATGCTCTCAGAAAGTTACCGGAACTGCACAAAATATCCTCACTTTGCAAGTTCTCGACAATAATCACTAGATGGGATAATATGTAAGAAAAAAAGAAAACGAAAAGCTCTTGCTGGGAAATTAATCCTTCCACTTCTGAAATAACGAAGGTGAATATACTTTAGCTTAACCATATTAGACAGATTTATAAAAACAGTGATTGCATCACTGTGGTGATGTCCAGAAAAAAATATTCCAAAATAAAGCCATCTTACCGGGGAAAAAAAGGAAATGAAACAAACATTTTAGAAGATAAATTCTCAAATACAATCATTCCAAAGGAAACAAGAATGATCGCAGCAAACAGTACTTTGTATCAACAAAACTTTACATAAATATTCCTTCCTTTTCAAATTAAATTCAGTGTTATGGGTGACAAACCTATTATTCAATAATGTACTACAACGTGGAAAGAAATCAAAACATGTGGTAATTTCAAATCAGAAATAAATAAACAGATGGCAAGTGTTATAAACAATAATTAAAGCTTGTACTTTCAGGAAGAATACAAAAAACAGAAAAAAATGAAACAGACGTTACTGCTCTTCTTATATACGGCATTATCGCTCCTCTTATATATCTCAGTTCTTTGATCACAAATTTTAAAACTATGAAAAAAAAATAAAACTACTGCATTTCAATTAAAAATGTAATATCAAAATGATACAATGGCGTTCAAAGGAAGTAGTCTGGTTGAGGTTTTTTTGCTGGAGCACCACGGTTTTCCTGCAAAAAAAAAAAATACATAACAAATGAAGAGTCGAAATCACTACTTTTAATCTTGCGTTAAATTGCTTTTAATCCCGCATTGATCCACGCAGGAATGTCAGCCATGCCACAGAGCACAGAAAGATAGATCCCAAATTACAAAATCTGTAATGGTCAGGGAAGGGATGTAGATATCCGTAATGATCCGTAATGGTCAGAGAAGGGATGCAGATATCCGTAATGATCCGTAATGGTCAGAGAAGGGGATGTAGATAAAAGAATTTCTCCTAGTCACTGAATATTCAAATTTAATCAAGGAAAAAGAAAACAGTGTCGATGAATGAACCTGTGGTGCGGCTTCGAAAATGGTGAAATCTTTGTTTAGTTGTTCATCAAGTTCCAGGATAGCCGCAACATTGCCACATCTACAAGTATTATTGATAAAAAATTTGCAACCTCAGTGTTAAAGAAGTAACTGAAAACCAAAAACAATTTTAGGCCAACGTAATCTTCGAGAAAAAAAGAGTGACATTACGATGAAAAAAACCAACATTACCGATAACAATAATTAGGTGCCGACCAGACTGTTAAGACTGTTTCACCGAAATGCCATTTGTAACCTTCCATAACAAGCTGATGGGCCCGACAAATCAAATCTACGCCATTTGCTTGGCAAAAAGCCTAAACAGTCGTCATTAATCTTTAGCAAAAAATAATAAATTGCACCGAATTCTGATGGAAGAGAAAATGATAACACAACGAAACTTCAAACAACAGAGGATTCAAATAATATTACCGAATTTCTGAGTTTTTTTTTGTTTTTCATTTTAGCAAATATTCGAAGAAACTGCCTCAGATGAATTCTTTTTCTATAATCGATTATTTAGACCAATTATGCGAAGTAAAAAAGTAGGAGGTAAACATGAAAGTTGGCAAAACCAACTTTAACGACGTCAGAGCCGAACAGATATCCAGCACCCCTAGGACTGACACCCCAACCAACGCTATCTTCCGGATCTGACCATAACAAATCACACATTGGACCATCATGAGGTACCTGGAAATTAAGACCTGAGTAACTCATTAAAAACATTTTTCAAGAAGTGCATACATATGATAATGAAATTGCATTAAATTTACCTCTTGCTTCCTATCGATCGTCCTGATTTGATCAAGATTTTGTATTGAAGGAGATAAACCACCATGGACACAAAACACTTTACCCGCAATGACTGCAGAAAGACTAAGACAATCGAATACTTCAGTACAACACCTGTGAAATATCTGTCAGTTACAACACAAAATTCAGAAAAAAAGTAAATATATATTTAATAATGTCGTGAAAACCAACCCACCAACCTTTCGCTCTTATGAGTTAAATAAAAGGCCGAAGCCAAAAACACTACCTCCACACGGCTGATGAACCATACTTCCTCAGACATTCGTCGTAAAACCCATACACTTGAGTAATTTGTCGAGATTCATGATTCCCTCTTATCAACATCATCCTATCGGGATATCGCACTTTTAAGGCTAACAGTAACAAAAATGTCTAAAAAATTACAACCACTAAAGTGTGACTAAGGCCAAGAAAGTTGTATAAAATAGCTGTATATTCAGATGTAAGCTCATGTTATAGTAAGCTGACGCTGTGACAAGATTAATTTGTGGAAAAAAAATTTCCGTAATTCTTGACTTTGATGCATGGATGTCAAAATTCCGTTCTAGCTGAAAAATGAACGCTAATTTGAAGGACAGAAAATAAAGCCACGCATCAGAAACAAAGTATTTTAGGCTAGGTATTTACTCAAAAAAGCTATAAATACAGATTGGACAAGAAACCTAAAGTAGTTTAAGGAAAATCGGGACCGAATAAAAGTTACTGCTATTTACGGATTTAAGAACTAACACTAAAAATATGGCAAAAAAGAAAAAACAACAAGGAAAAAACAAAAAACAATTCGACTATGGTCATCAAAGATTACGATGAATTTCTTTATTCATCGTTCCCTTTGATGATCATAGTACCTCAACAGTACCTCAGCATCTTACCTCAACAGAATAAAAACCACGATCAACAAAATCGCCAAGGAAAAGATAATTCGTGTCAGGAACCTGACCACCAACCCTGAATAATTCCATCAAATCATAAAACTGACCATGGATATCGCCACATATCTAAATTCGCTTTAACCATAAAAAAGTACTTTTTGATTAAAGTATAACAAAGCATAAACAGTTGATTCAGAAATTAAATTTCTGATTGCGTATAAATAGTATGATATGTAATTAGGTATAAATAGCTTTATATGTAATTCACTTCCTTATTTTACTAATTGGCTACTTACCGAATACTTCAGCCAACAAGAGATGTCTATTAATATGCAGACATACGCATTAGTACATCATTAGTATATTATGCGTATAATTTGTTGATTAATTATTATATACCAGGTTATTTATTGCGCAGAAATACTACGTAATCACTCAGTTAAACTTTTCAAGAATTCAAGAAATCCAATTAAATAATGAAAAATTACCGTAACAGGGGAATCGACCACTTGTACATTGCCTTCCTGTAAGAGGATTTCACGTGCTTTGGCGCAAAGCGATTTTACCTCTTGCTCTGAGATACATTCACATCTCATTAATGTTTCGATCTGCCTTAAAATTATCGCTGGAAAATTATCAACTAATTAAATCATTGAACTCATTAAAAAAAAGTAGTGCAGTATATCTTCAAAGAGATCTTTATGTTGATTAAGTTAACATTTTTAAGACATATGAAAATATTTATCTTTAGGGTGAACGTTCGCTTTCAACTAAGTCAAACGTAAGAGTTAATGTTAACCTATCCAAATCATTCACAGTAACAGAAGTTGGTGTTGAAGGTAACATCGAAGGTAACGTTTCATCCGCATTCATTACCATATCAAAATCTTCTGCTGCAACAAAAACAATTAATCAGTTATAGCCATAAACTAATATTTTAAGTAAAATTAGCAGAAAAGCATCGGTTTTTTGTATTTCAATTATATTACTTTCAGTAAATAAGAAATCCATATTGGAATAGTTGCTAGCTGAACTTAATAATTAGCTAACCAAATAAAACTTGTACATTTGAATAAATAAAACCTAAATATTTGAATAGTTTGAAAAAAATTAAAGAAAAAATGCTAGGATATGGAAACTCAAATCATCAAATTCGTCACTAACTCCAAACTTCAAATAGGATAGGGAATTCGAATTTGCAACTCGTCCATCTGAAAAGATGGTCCGACCGTCGAAGCTAAATGAAAATTACAGTTTAATAGTTCGAATCAAACTAAGTGAATGTGATGATTACACTTTGTGCTAGTTCTTTGACTGGACGATTGATATCCGGTATACCGGAAGCCATTTAATAGGCGAACCGGATTCTTGATAGATTGGGTACGTAATAGGTTCTTCGGATATTTGAGCATATCAGTGAGGGATGAGACAGCAATTGACCGATGCATTTGGACATATGGAAATGATGAAGTAGGATGGTTGATGATTGATAGATGGAAGAGAATGACTTCTAATGCAGTTCCCGCCTTCATAATATGTCCTAAACATTCTCTTTTGTCATCTTTCTTTTGCTATTTTTTCAAGTACCATTGCTTCTTTCACTTAATTTCATCTAAAATTACGTTAAAATGATCGAAATATCGGAATAAATGCTAGAAATCTGAGTTCCTTTTTTCTTCATGATTTATGATTGCTTATTTGATTGAAATTAAAATAGGTTTGTGTATGTATATTGTGTATGTGTATGTATGTGTGTGTGTACGTATGTGTGTGTATGTACGTGTGTGTATGTGTGTTTGTGTACGTGTGTCTGTGTTTGTTTGTTTGTTTGTTTGTTTGTTTGTTTGTTTGTTTGTTTGCTTGCTTGCTTGCTTGCTTGCTTAATTATTTTTAATAGATAATTAATGGATGTAAGGCATTTTCTCTCCTTTACATGTTTGTTTGTTTGTTTGCTTAATTGTTTTAATAAATAATGGATGTGAGGCACTTTCTCTCCTTTTACATATTTGGTTTGTTTGTTTGTTTGGTTAATTATTTTTAATAAATAATTAATGAATGTGAGGCATTTTCTCTCCTTTTTATGTGTTTGTTTGTTTGTTTGTTTGCTTGCTTGCTCAATTATTTTTAATAAATAATTGATGAATATGAGGCACTTTCTCTCCTTCTTTTTTGTGTTTGTGTGTGTACGCGTGTGTGTATCTGTCCTAAAGATGAAATAACGCTAAAAGCCACCACGACTTCCTACTTACTTCTAAAGTTGGAGTAACCACATGAGTTATCAAAAATGAAAAACTTAATATTTACTACAAAATCATATTGCATATTCATTTTTACTTTCAGCATAAAATTTTGCAAAGGATTTATCATGTGAAATGAATGAATCAAAATAATGGAAATAAATTGAAATGAGAATGTCAGTTTAAAATTTTGAAAATAGAAGGGAGCGAAAATATTATTTTCCCATTTTTTTTTTCTCCATTGATTTATTTTATGTTTTGTTTTTGTTATACAATGTAACATTTCGATTATAAATACGATAATATACTTGTATAAAATGTATCTCCCTGTGTATGCATGTATGTTTGTTTTTCATTTTTTTTCTCCCTTTTCTTTGTATGATTGAATGATATCATAAGTTTTCCATTACTTATTTTATATTATCTGTCAACTTTTTGAGTTCTTTTCCTCACTCTCTTTTTGCTTCCTTTCATCCAATTTTTATTTATGACGGAAGCAAAAAAGCCTGAAAAAGAGACAAATTAGAACGATGAGATGATAAAAGATGAAAACATTTTTAACCTTAATAATAGTTTTACACATCTTTCCGAAGTAATTTCATTTATCCGGTACTTTTGAATGAAGAGAGAACGGGGAATGAAGACAGAGAAGAAAAGCATTCAGGCAATTCTGAAATGGTTAGAGGAGAGAATTTTAAACTTTTAATTTATTTGTCTTTTCCTGAATTAGTTAAAAATTATGTGGTAAAATATTTTCCTTCTCATTCCATTTCGAAACTTTGCCTGAACCTTAGGTTATAGCAAGAAAAGGTTTCAATATTTTATAATAAAACGAGAAGGAAAAAAGCCTGAAAATAGTATAGGAAGGCAGAAAATACCTGAAAATATAAAAGCAGGGAGAAAGAATATTTTCAGGTATTGAAATTCAGACGAAAAAACAAAATAAAGTAAAGTCAATTGGTGAAGAGAAAAGAATGCAAATGGAAATAGTGTTGGGAGAAATGCTCAAGGACGATGTAAGAGAATATTGATAATGAATACAGCTAGAAAGGCCTTAACAAGCTAAGGTTATTCACAAAAAGAAATATTTGTCCCCAATTCTTTCCCTTTCTCTTCCCTTCATGCCCTCCTCTCTCTCTCTTTCCCTCTCTTCATCTCTCTTGTTTGACCAATGTTCATCCTCAGTGGTTCTTTATCATCACTTATTTATCATTTTTTGACCATTGTTGATCTAGCATTAATACCTCAATACTTTTACCTCAATTATAAAGTTTATTTCAGTTAAAAATTTTATAATTTACTACTATATTTTTTCCTTCTTTTCTTTTCCCATTAAATACTCCTCCTCTTATTCTTCCTATTCTTGCTTCTCCACATTTCTCTCCCTCATTGTTCCCATCTTTTTCCTTAAAGAAGGATTGTTTAATCTTTGCTTTCCTTCTTGTTAGAAACTGATATGATGATATACAAATGATAAATGTTACCAACATTTCATGGCTTATTTCAGAATTAGCTTAAGAATTAGATAGTAGAAAATTGAGTAATAGATAACAAGAATCGAAAGTATCTTTTTGAAAAAAATAAATAAATAAATAAAAACAGGGAAAGAATGATAAAGTAGAAAATAAAACGAAATTTTGCAGCTAACGATTTTAGATGGATAATTAAATTGGAAATAATCCTCTCGGTTATTTGGCTGATTTAATTTTGCTGAAAGAAAAAAAGAAAAGGATTCTTCTACTTCGTATTTTTATCTTCTTTATTCTTTGATTCTGTTTACTTCTAGTTCCACTACTATTACTGCTATTGTTATTATTGGTGCTACTGCTACTGCTACTATTATTACTGCGACTACTTATTAATCAAAACAATGTTGATAAAAGAATATCGTATTTTGTTACCTCTTACGGTTAGCGAATATCGTATCGCTCAGCTTTATATGATTCAGGTTTATTTTTATAATTTTGAATAGAAGTTCTTTTTTTTTTTTCTTGTGGCGAGGATATGGGAGAAAATAGTGGGACGTTTGTTTCTTTGGGATTCAGGGATTTGTGCATCCTTCCACGGATATATTATTTAGATGTCATTTATTACAATTAAATAATGATCATGGATGTGTTTAAAAATATATATATATACTAAAGTTT